CTTCACTCACCTTTACTGGTCCATCCCCGCCTCTTTGACCTGTCTGTCTCCTCTCCACCAATCTTCTCCTCTATCCATCTTCTTTCCGCCTCCCACTCTCTCCCTATTTATTTCAGAACCCCCTTCCCCTCCCCCATTTCTGATGAAGGGTCTAGGCCCAAAACATCAGCCTTCCTGCTCGGCCTGCTGTGTTCATCCAGCTCTGCACCTTGTTGTCTCACAAGTACATCCCTGCTTTTATATTCACGTCCTCTCAAAATAAATGCCAACGACGTATTTACCTTCCTAACTACCGACTCAGCTGCAAGTTTACCATAAGAGAATCCTGGGCTAGGACTCCCAAGTCCCTTTGCACTTCAGAAAAACACCTGAGACACAAGTTATCAAAACAGTTAGTATTGAGCCAGGAAATGGAAGAATTTATAAATAAGCCTATTATAAAAGTTTTGGAGATATTACTGGCTTGATGTACAAGTTATAATAGCATTTCAAATCTGCAATTGATTGGTTAAAGCAAGGCAATACAGAATGGAAGGAACGTTTCATCAAGTAAATAATTACAAAGATTAGGAGGAGTTTCAAATAAGACATACTTAGCTTCTACACAAATGTAATACCTTAGTGAAACACCAAAACCAACATATTCTGCCAGTAACAGTTACGAGATAATTAATAGCTTCAAATTTATAAGATAAAACCATAAGATATTGGAGCAGAATTAGGCCTATGGACCCATTGAATCTGCTCTGCCATTCAATCATGGCTGACATGTTTCTCAACCCCATTCCCCTCACAACCCTTGACCTCCTTACTGATCAAGGGCCTATCTCTGTCTTAAATACATTCAATATACGACTTGGCCTCTACAGCCATAAATAAATTTTTCATTACCAATTAGTATAAACATGCATCAAAGTATTTTTTTACAACCATGTGTGCAAGGTTAAAAATAGCTGTCTTGTCAATTAGATCAATCATGAAAAGTTAATTTTCGTGATGAAGCCCTCTTCTTCCACAAGACAAACAGCATTTGCAGTTTCAGGAAGAAAAGGCCCTCCAAAATTCTCTAATCTCAACAATGAAAATGATTCTTATTGAAACTAGCACTTTTGAAAGTTTGCCTGCAAGAAAACAACAAGCTCTTCCAGTTTTGGTCTCCTTTTCTGAGGAAGGATGCTCTTGCTCTCGACGGAGTGCAACGAAGGTTTACCAGGCTGATTCCAGGGATGGCAGGACTGACATATGAGGAGGTAGGATTGTTTTCGCTGGAGTTCAGACGAATGAGGGTGGATCTCAGAGTACTTCATGAACCATGTGCTAAATTGGGTATTTGGTTCAACTAAGATCTTTCTGCTGTGTATTCCGCAAACTGTAATTTAGATCAACAGTTTGAAGTTCAGGGTCAGATCTTCAAAAACTCCAACTTGGTCAAGATACTTGTTAACAGAAATGGCAATGATAGCAAACTGTATATCAACTGAAAAAGGTTTCCAGGATAAGTGTTAATTACTGTTAAAGGGAACAACAGGTGATTTAGCAGGTATGGCTTAAGCATATTTCCTATATATGCTCTCTACACAAGTAGACAGAGCTTGATACTGCAGAGTGATCCAGGATCAGATTGCTTTTTGAATGGAGTCCAAGTGAGAATTTGGTGCATAACAGGAAGGAAGTCCTGCTTTTTAGTAATTTTTAATCCTGTTCAGATATATATCTTGAAACACCTTTGGAGCAGGTGGGACTTGAACTCAGGTCTTTTGGCCCAAAGGTAGGCGCACTACCACTGTGCCACTTGAACACTTTGCCTGTCCTGCCCTGCCCTGCCCTGCATTTCTGTCTAATTGTTTTGACTTCAGCTGACGAGTTTTTTTTGTCTTAAGTTAGGAGAGTGTAACTTGCTATTACCTTAGTATTTAGTGAATTAACAAATCAAATAAAGAAGGTTAGACTCTAATGGCAGAACAGGTAATATGTCATTATTGCAAAACGTGGGAGTTTGTGGAACATTTTGCCGGGCAACTATACCAGCACTAAATGTGTGTAGTTTCAGCACTTTTGGCTCAGAGTTGCTGAGGTGGCTTCTGATCTGCAGACAGACATTGTGGGCTATTTGGGTGGGTGCATTTTGTTCTGGGAGGCACTTATATCCCTTATGGGGAGATGACCTTTAGAATTGATCAGTGGTGAAGGATAGGAGGTCTTATTAAAAAAATTCTTACGTGGGATGTGAGCCACGTTGTCCTTAAAAAGTAGCTTACAGAGCCATTTCCTAGACCAATTAAGAGTCAACCCTGCTGTTGCGGGTATGGAGTCACATATAGGCCAGACTAGGTCCAAAGACAAGCAAGTTAGGTGGATTGGCCATGCTAAAGTGCCCTGTAGTGTCCAGAGATGTGCAAGCTAGGTGCATTAGCATGGCAAATGCAAGGCTATGGTGATAGGGCTAGCCGGGGGGTTGTGTGGCTTAGGTGTGGGTGGGATGCTCTTTGGAGGGTCAGTGCAGACTTGATGAGCTGAATGGGCTCTTTCCACACTAACAGGATTCTATGTGAATGGTGGGGGGATAGATTTTCTTTCCTAAAGGACATTAAAAACCATCTGCTTCACTCTCGACAGTTGACAGTGGTTCATTGGTCACCGTTAGAAGAATTTGGTAATAGAACAAAATCTATGAAATTCAAATTTTAACTCTGCCATTATGGGATTCCCCAGGGGAAATGCCAGTCCAGTGACAATACCACCACACCACTGACTCCCCACTGCACATCAGGCAGTTATGGAAATCCAGCATATAGTGATGGAAGAGTGTCTGTTCTTGACATTTACTAGGAGAAAAAGAACAAGGACTGAATAAGCAAATTGACCATGCCATCATGATGTAGAATGTCATTCAAGCACAGGCATACATAAAGGAATGTGACAGTGATGTGGGACAGTTTGGTCGGAATGATAGGTACTGTCCTCAGCTGCCAAAGGACGTGCTGCATGCCTGTTGCCAAGGTACAGTACATCTCCTTCAGTCGGCAATTCACTTGGATTGGGAGGAGGGATATCCAGTTGCATTAGCCCATGTGAGACAGATTACATAGGTAGATGTAGGATTGAAACGCTGCTCAGTGTGTTTGAGGAATGAGGTCACAAATTCAAATGCAGAACCTGAAAAGGAAATAATCTCTGGATTGCTGCTGAGGCAGATACCAAGTGGCATATGGTTAAACATAATAGAAATTAAAGCTAAAAGTGGTGGTGTGAATAGTTTACAGACCATAACTGCAGTTATATCACTGGAGACAGAATTAGGCAAAAAATGACTGGAGTTTATAACAAAGACAATGTATTAATTTGGGGACTATAATATTTACAGGATCATCATTTAGGGTGGGCCAATCAAATTGGAAAAGGTTATCTGGATAATGGGTTTACAGAATGTTTTAGTGGCTGTTTCCTGGAGCAATATATTGAGGAACCAAGTAGGAACAAAAGTTTTTACCTAATATTGCCCAACAAAAGCACAAATAATTAGTAATATCATAGTAAAAGATCCACTTGAAGCCAATGATATAATAATGACTTCCATGCTATATCAACCATGTGATTGTTCAAAGCAACAAACTCCACCGAATTTCTTACAAAGTTTGAAACTGACATAATCAAGTCCCTAAATAAGAATCCTAACATTACGTAGCTATGAGAAGAAAGCTAACTAAAGTTGATTGGGTCAATTGATTAAAGAGCACTGTGATAAATAAACGATGTGAATATTTTTCAAAAATATTTCCAAGGGTGTTATGGTGTACTCCTGTTCCTATTTCTTATGGTTTTGACCCCGATAATCCCTGTTGTATAGAGTAAGCAAGTTGAGCCTAAATATTCATACTAACAGTGAAAGTAGCTAGTCCTTAGATATGAAATTTCCCAGTAGATTTATTGTTCAATTTTGCCCTTCATTTGATTGTAACTGTGGTCTAAATCCCTCGTTTTCTTTCCCCTCAACTTCTCTGACCACATCACCCTTCCTCCATAGCTCAGCAGGATTATGGTTTGCCTTTACTGATCTAATTATCAGAATATTTCCACTCTACAACACCCTCCCACTTCTTGAACTTACCCAGCCTGATTCTGACCTTACATGTGTCTCCCTTCATTTTCCCCACCAACGAGTTCTCCTTCTTGAAATAGCTCCATCTCTCTACATCTCCCTCCTCCTTTAAAAAAGGTACTTCTTAAAGCACTTATCTTTGGCTACCCTTTCTTTGTGCTTTAACTTTCAAATTGTCTCACAGCAACTCTTTGAAATATCTTGGGGCAATTTTACATTAAGGGTCTCATATAAATGCAAGTATTTGCATTATTTTGTCACAGCGATAAGGGAATATAAAATTAGAATGGGACTTGACATGGATATTTTCCACAGATCGATGCCCTATGATATTCATTTCCTAGTTTTCCCTTGAAGAATAGTACTATTGAAAAATCACTGTGTTCATAAATTCAGTATGTCTGTTTGAATAAAATGACCGTATTAAATTTTCCAAAGCTCTCATTCCTAACTGTTATCCATCTGGAAACATGTACAGGTATTGGCTATAAACAGAAGTGAAGTCAGCTATGATAGCTCATGGTCAAATAGTTTGCTAATGGCTACTTCAGTTAGATACCAAAGCGTGCCAAGTTTCCAAGGAATCAAGGTAGACAAATAGGAGGCTGGAAGAATACAGCAGGCCAGGCAGCATCTGGAGGAAAGAAACAGTTAACGTTTCAGGTATTACCCTTCTTCCTTTCCTCCAGATGCTGCCTGCCTTGCTGTGCTCTTCCAGCCTCCTGTTTATCTGCCTGGATTCCAGCATTTGGCAGTTTCTTTTGTCTCCTTCCAAGAAATCAAATTTGCTAGCAGTAGAGAAAAGTGGGAAAAAAATTTTGTGTGGAAAAGCTCTAAATCAAAACTTCAGTAGAGCATATCACACAACACCAAAAAATGCTGCAAGCTCCCATATTAGCCATTTTTATGTCATCTTATGTCAACTTAAGGAACAGAAATAAAGACAATTTACAGTGCTTTTCGCAACCTTAAGATTGTCCCAAAATACGAATTGCCAACGAAGCACACTTGAAAAATAGTGACCATTAGAATGTGGAAAACATGAAAGCCAGTTTGAATATAGAAAATCTTAGAGAAACAGCAATGCAATAAATGAACAGATTATCTGTTTTAGGTGTGTATTCAAGGATAAATGTTGATTGGGATGCTAAGACAATTCCACTTTTTTAAAAAATAACATCCATTAACAGGCAAGACTTTCACAACAAGCATTCATCTAAAAGATGGCACTATATCACCACAACACACTCCAAGTATGATACTGATAACAGTTTAGCATTAAGTGCTGAAATCTCTGGAGTGAAGTTTGAACCTAGAACCTACTGACTCAGTAAGGAGCATGCTACTACTAATTCATAGTTTACAAACTGGAACCTGTGAATAATGCTGAGAAGTGGGTTGCGATTGCCCAAAATAGTTTTCTAAAAAGAATTCCAAACGTCCAGAAAGAAGCCTTCTAATCAATTAGTTTAGGAGGTTCCAAATCAAGGAACTAGATGCAGAAGGACAATGTGCTAAACCTTTCCCCTCGAATTATAAAATATAAACATCAATGTTGGTTCTCATTAAGTCTCCAAAGGATAATGTGCAAAGTACTTAAAATTAAATCCAGACAACCCATCACAGATAAATAATGCTAAAGTTAACTCACACTCATGTTTCATATTTTAAAATCTTACACTATTTAATTCATACCATGTTATATTTGCACTCATATTTCCAATGGCTTTGACTGTCAAGCTGTAACAGATAATTAGGTTAACTATTCACCATAACCACATCAAGAGTAAAACAATTTGTAAGATTGTAAGTATTATTAGATTTTGCTTCATTTTATAATAAATAGTATTAAATAGATATGGTACATAGATATTTGACAAATATATTAGGTTGACTAATATGTGATCCCATCAATGCCTTTAATATCTTCAGATTTGATTTGTGGCCTCTAATTTTCCATTCTCCATCTCCATGAACTTAACAACAGTCAAAACTGCACTAACCTACATCCCATTCATTCAGACGAACAACTACTTGCTTTTAAAATTCTCACCTTTGTGTTCAAATCCTTCCATGGCCTCATTCCTTTTAATTCTGTAACTCCCTCCAGGACCATGAGAAATTTTCATTCTTCAAACTCTGGCCGCTTATGTATCTCTCCACTTCCTCCACCCCATTATTGATAGCCATATCTTCGGCTGTTTAGATGCTAAGTTCTGGAATTCCCTCCCCAAACCTCTGTCTTTTCACCATTAAAACACTCATTAACATCCATCTTTTTCACCGAACTTTTTAATCATCTGTCCAAATTCTCCTTTATTTGGCTTGCTGTTAATTCTTGTTTGGTTACGCATTGTGTTGCGTCCAGGACATGTTACTACATTAAGTGTGCTATCTAAATGCAAGCCGTTTTGCTGCTGATGGCAACCTAAAATATTGTGCAAAACTTTTAATGAAAAAAGCCAAGTTAACTGAACTGGTGCCCCAATTCATCGAGTAGAGTAAACAGCTGTGAAGCAAAATCAAACCAATGTCTGTATATTTCACTTATAAAATAGAAAGACACACAGAAATAAAAAGTATCAGTTTAAACTTGAATACCTACCAAATAATTCTACGATCTGGGCCAAAATCAGCTTCATAGAATCCATCTTTACAGTCTTTCCCAACCAAGTCATGTGGGTGGGGCTTGAAAGGTTCCATTTTCGTAACTAAAGTGACTAAAACTCTCCCTCTTCCAAAATAGTTAGCGACCTGCATGGATAAAAGAACACAGATCAGAACTGAAAAGTTATAAAAAGGAAGGAAACTTTAAAAATACGTAAAGGAATTTAATAAGTGTACAGCCTTTTGTTTAAATATTGTTTTTTCGTTACTCAAGTTTGCTAAATCTAATTCAGACCCATTCATACAAATGGTACTACATTAGGGTCAACATGGTACAAAGTTAGTCACATAAACATGGGTGATATATTGGAATGTTGTCCATACTCTCCATTCTTAGAGCGGTTAGATTTTAGTCTGATTCTACAGCACTTCTTTCTCCTCTGAATACTGAGAGCTCCAAAACAAAAATCAATATACCCTGCTTCCCTGAAATTCAATGTTAATTTTGATGGATTTGTTGCAAAGTTTAACAGCACAATTTAACAGTACAATTTAGTAAATTACAAACGTTTGCATATACATTGCCTTACGTGAATATAATGTTCAGGAGGTCTGGCTCCATGATGATTATGGCTCCTCAAATACAGATCAATTCATTTTTAATATAACAGTAACACATCAGTTATCTACAAATTAATTCATACCCAATTTAAAAGAAATACATTTTTCAAAACTAACCTTGAGGAGAAGCGCTCTAAATCAATTACTAAAAACACTGAGAAACTGAGCAAGGCATCAAGAGGTTCCAAATCAAGGAACTAGATGCAAAAGGACAATGTGCTCAACCTCTCCCCTCGAATTATAAAAATATAAACATCAATATTGGTTCTCATTAAGTCTCCAAAGGATAATGTGCAAAGTACTTAAAATTAAATCCAGACAACCCATCACAGATAGATAATGCTAAAGTTAGTGAGAGATTTCAGAGCATACTGAATGTACTGAAAAACACCTGCAAACTTGGTTAAACTCATTGGGAACAAGAACACCAAGTGATGATAATTTTGGCATCTTAGTTGTTTCATTATGCTTTTCTTTAAAATTCATAATAATAAATTATTTAATAATTATGATAAGCTCATTTATTTCCCCAACATATTAAACAATCAGATGAATTACTGCAAAGGTGGTGCGATTGTATAGTACGTCATAATTACAATACGTATCATGTGCAAACTGAGTCAACCTGCCTGTATAAAGGAGTTCCTATTCCCAACTGAATTAGGGAGAAACATTCAGTAAGATGTTAGTTATAGATTATTATGATTTACAGGTTGTTCTACTTAAACGCAAATTACTCAACAGTAAATTACCATGTTCTGCATCACAGAGTAAAAGATACTTTCTAGAGAGCTACTTCGTTCATGCTTTTTGATGAAAAATTGATTAAGAGGAAACTGTTCACAACACTGTTGAAATCTCGTGACATAGAAACAGGGTTTTCTTTTGCATTAAGAGAGCTTTTATTCCCATAGATATTTTTGTTCCGTTTTTGAATCACTTCAAAAAGGATTTTACAAGAAACACAATGTACGTTCACAGAAAGCTTAAAACCTCCATGTATTTATATTATACCTGGATTGAAGGATATGTTCTATTGTTATCTGTGCTGTGTTCCCCAGGAATGCTGCCAGCTGATCGTCCTTCACACTTATATCGGAAACGCATACCACGTTGCTTGGGCTGCTCAACAATTTCAACATAAGGTTCCCCTAAAATTTAAATAAAACAATTAAAGCAACATGCAATTGCAGTAAAGTACACAGTAGCACATCAATCACACAAATTGAAGGTCAACTTAGAGATAAAGGTATCACGTTTTTTAGATGAAAATGTAGAGAAATCTCTTACCTTGAAGGGCAAGCCTTGACATAGCAGGCAGGTGACCTCGCACTGTAAAAGTAGGATTCCATTAGTAAGTATTGCTTATTATCTATTTTTTTTTTTAAAAAATCACCTGCCTACTTAAGAATGGCAAGAAGTTCCCAATATGCTTGGATTAAGATTAGATTTTCTAAAGGATGAAATTGTTTCTATGCAAGCAAATTAAAATGTGAGGTTGGATGAAGGCACTGAAGACCCAAACTGAGAGTTGGTGTTGCCCTCTGATGATGTCACTAGGAAATCATACATGTTTAAAAGTAAAGGTCACTTGAGTTACACCTACAACTTAATCGTGGGTGTGCACTGAACCACAAGTGATGCAGGTCCTGCTAACTGCACCCTCTAAAAACAAAAATAATTTTCCTCACGCCCTTTTTTAATGAAAATTATTTTACACAGACCAGAAATATAACTTTGTAAATTTTTTGTTATAAACCAGTAGGTGTCAAAACATTTATACTCAGCCTATTTAGCAACATCATCATATTATGGTTGTGTAATATATTTCAATATTCAGTAATTGATCAAGTTGGGAAAAATTTATTTCACAAAAATAGCTGGTTGGGTCAGCCATACTTATATCTGGCCCCTACAAAATTTCATCCATTTTAAAAAAAAAAAATCACACTACTACTTAGTCATAGTTAGAGAACGTTAATTTGTGCAGACCAGTCAAGTAAACAGAGTGGCTTGCTCTTTTATTCAGGACTGTAGCGGTCCATTCAGCTAGCTTTGCAACATATCTTAAGGAGTAAAATAGCAAAATGTTAAAAGTTATGTAGTTGGACCAAATATTAAATTACACAGTGGGATGTAGTATCATAAACAGAAAGTCAGCAGGTAATGCAAGATTCACCATTGACTTGACTCCCTCAGTAGTATATTGTTTTCAGACCACGAGTTGCTATGAGCATTGTTATAGTAAGCTTTACTTGTTAAAAGTGACATGCGGATTTGGTTTCACTCGATATGTTTCACTACTTTACTTCAGGAACTACTGATGGACTCATAGATTTACCGGGTATGAGTTACTATCCATTGGTAACTGCACAAATATTTTAAAAATAAATTACCAGTTATCCAATGTCAAATCGTACAAATATTTAACTTAAAGTAAATTACTCTCAAGACTGGTTCCCAATGAGGGCAATTCACTTCAAATATTTGTACAGCTATCAGCAGATTAACCTTGTGATCCGAGGGAAATTTTGTCTTTTTATAGATTAGTATTCCATGCCCAGCAAATCTAAGAAACAGACATCATTTCAAACAACAGAAACAAAACCCAATTGACATATGATATTAACAGTCAGCAGTGTAGAACTACGTATCACTTTAACTGCGGGTCGAGATGAACTGGGCTGTCTTACTGAGTATATTTCAGATAAGCAGTAACGTTAGAAATCAGTGGGTGTACTGGAATGTCAAATGTAGCGCTAGGGCACCTGCTATCATCACTATCATCCCACTACTTTGACACTGGAAAATAGAACATCAAATCCTCTGTACTTCAGCGCCGACTAATGGTTACCACTGATAAAGCCATGGAAGTGGCTGGGAAGCAAATCACACTTCCTAACTGCATATAAACAGACGGGTTCCAATTTATTTAACATAATGAATTATCAATGGCTGTCTTCCGATTTCCACCCTCATTCAGGGGAATGGCACTGTCAATATAGTCCGAACAGGCTAGTACGGGCCGCAAACACAATGGAACGTCTATAAAGCTCCATTTTGTGAAGCAAACTAAAAAATAATTTCCCTTTAATTTGATGAGACTGTGCAGCAAACAGGTCTTTACTGACCCATCAGCTAGAATTCTGTAACTTTAAAATGTTAGGCACTAGGGATCAATGCCAATTCAACTAATATATTCTGTCACAACATTAACTTCTTTAGCAATGTCCCATTACAGAGAACCAGTCCATGAATAAATGACATAGATATCCCCCGTGTCGACTGGGTAGTCCTTCATGCTTCAGAATAAGGCTACGCCCACTTTCCCCAGATTTAAATTGGTGGATTTAAGGGAAGTTTTTTGGTCGTTCTGTTCTCAATATCGCCCACGATAGTTTCGCCAAATATCTCATCAATAGTTTCAGACATTTTTATGGATGGCAACACAGGTGTTGAAAGATACACACGTTTTAACTTTCATTCGAAACAATTCGAGTTAGGAAACAATGCAATGACTTGACGACCAATACGGCCCGGCTAAACGCTTAGTGAACTGCCAAAGAAAAATGGGGTAGTTATCGATTCCTGAGGTCAGAATGATAAATAACGTTCTCAAATAACTCGTTTGTCATTGTAAAATGTACCGGAAAACGTCAACTTTCTACCTACTGTTTGTAATGTTAAAAGGCACCAATGGTATTAATGGCGGCTCACTTTTGTGACAGTCTGGTAAAAGCCGCCTGGTCTCCGGCCACTTCGCAACGTTCACTGAAAGTTTCTACAAACACTCGCTGCCTCCACCAAAAACAGACGCCAGAGCGGAAGTCAAAACAATAATGTCAGAGCGAAAAAAAAGTCAAACGCAATGAATCGGTGTCATCTCGGAAAATGTTTTATTTGAATGACAATTTCAGAATTAAAAATGAATAAATAGTTCACTTTTTAAAAAAAATACTTCACGAGCAACGTAACTCTTCGTTTTTTTAAATGTTTACAGAAGAGGTTCAGCAATAAAATCACTCTCAAATACCGAGACATAGCTCCGCCACCGATACAAAAACAACATTGTGCGGACGTTGGAAACCTGAAAATAATCTGGATTCATCGCGCCAATAATTGAGTGCATTTCGGTTTATTTTCATCAGTTCAAAAATATATCTGTCTTAATATTTGATTAATAGCAACTCACCATCCATGGCTGTTTACCTCGCTTTCCTTTTATAACCCACAGAATTATTCCGACATGTAACTGTGATGTCCTCCTCACTCTTAATCGTACTGGTGACAAAACTGGAAAAGTCACTGTGAGGTTGTAATAAATTTTAGCAGGGAATTTCCCCCCACATCCGCAGAAACTCGCTGACGTTTCTACTGCAATGCAAATCGCAGTTTTACTGGTTATCAGGTTATGGCCAATAAAAAATCAGAACGTTTGTTCGACTCGTGGTTGTGTACAGTTCACAAATAAAGAACTACTATTACTAAGTTTCACAAAGAAACACAAAGCTGAAGTACATATGATTTTCCATCGTAATTGGAATTAAAGGAAAGTGATTCAAATTAAGACGACTCTCAGCTGGACGGAGGACATCATTGTAGGTCAAAATTGAAAGTTCTGGAAATATTCAAAGTGTCAGTTCCATGGCCTTTCTGGTTAGCCTACTGGGATTCCCAACAGTATGTAATTTTATTTCAGATTAGCATCTACAGTATTTTGCTCTTGTGGCAGTGGTGCATGGAGACTGGTAATAAGAATGTTGGCACAGTCCTGGTGAGGAATGGATGTGCATGGTGACTCCGTGTTCCTATTGAAAAGAAGACAATTACGACTGTAGAAGTCTGCATTCTCAAAGAGGAAGAAGGCAAGGGGTTCAGAAATAAGGCCAAGGTAAAAGGAGATCAGTTTATTAAGACAGGACGAGGGTAGTATTGAGTGGGTGGTGGGGAGGTAAAAACGTGGCTGGGAAACTTTAGGGTTAAAGACAATGGACAGGTAAAATTTGTGGGAGAGTCAAGATTAGTAACAGGCTAGGAAATAGGATCCTGTTGTTCTACAGTGGTGTGTGTATATATAGAGAGAATAGGAGAGTAATCACAGAGTAGCCATTCCGCCTGAGTTAGATGTCACTGCCAAAAAAAAGACAATCCTTGATCCTCAGATACAATGGTGATATGTTCGAAATATGAGCAATTGTTAATTTAAATCATTAAACAATTCTAACAGAGATAGTAGGAACTGCAGATGCTGGAGAATCCGAGACAACAAGGTGCAGGGCTGGATGAACACAGCAGGCCAAGCAGCATCATAGGAGCAGAGAGGCTGACGTTTCGGGCCTAGACCCTTCATCAGAAAAGGGGGAGGGGAAGGGGGTTTTGAAATAAATAGAGAGAGAGTGGGAGGCAGATAGAAGAGGGATAGAGGAGAGGAAACAAACAGGTCGAAGAGGCGGGGATGGAGCCAGTAAAGGTGAGTGTAGGTATGGAGTTAGGAAGGGGATAGGTCAGTCCAGGGAGGACGGACAGGTCAAGGGGGCGGGATGAGGTTGCTCGGTAGGAGATGGAGGTGCGGCTTGAGGTGGGAGGGGGGGATAGGTGGGAGGAAGAACAGGTTAGGGAGGCAGGGACGAGCTGGACCGGTTTTGGGATGCGGAAGGGGGAGGGGAGATTTTGAAACTTGTGAAATCCACATTGATACCATTGGGCTGCAGGGTTCCCAAGCGGAATATGAGTTGCTGTTCCTGCAACCTTCGGGTGGCATCGTTGTGGCACTGCAGGAGGCCCAGGATGGACATGTCGTCTGAGGAATGGGAGGGGGAGTTGAAATGGTTCGCGACTGGGAGGTGCAGTTGTTTATTGCGAACCGAGCGTAGGTGTTCTGCAAAGCGGTCCCCGAGTCTCCGCTTGGTTTCCCCGATGTAGAGGAAGCCACACCGGGTACAGCGGATGCAGTATACCACATTGGCAGATGTGCAGGTGAACATCTGCTTGATGTGGAAAGTCTTCTTGGGGCCTGGGATGGGGGTGAGGGAGGAGGTATGGGGGCAGGTGTAGCACTTCCTGCGGTTGCAGGGAAAAGTGCC